AGACATTTCCACCCACTTTGGGAGGAGGGGGGTCGAAGTGTGTCTTACGGAATGAAAAATACAGTAGGTCTCTTGCATAGGTAGGTCTCTCACAAATACTTTTTTCATATCTATTCTTCGATTGTTTAACTTGGCTTGTTTATTTAATATTAAACCACTTGCAGTTATTTTATGAACAGTAGTATGTAAGTGTTTTAATCAATAATAAAAACAAAGTAGCGTTGTTTGCACATTACTTGATCAAACTATTTCCTACATATTATCTTTTCTTTCAAAGTCCATTGAGAACAATTTTTTTTCCTAGTTTGAACCTGGTTAAGCAACACTTGGTTCTACTATGGTTGGAAATTTGGGACCTTGGTCATTTGTGATGGTCTCTCTGCCCAACAGTGTATATTATTTATCGTTAATAAAAAGAGCATTTTAATAGTGTAAATATTCAATTGCTGTTTCCTCCATGTATACAGTATACAGAAAAGGAAGGTGTGGGAAGGTGTACACTGACTTAACAGTATCTCTGTCTCTACTCCTTTTCTTCTTTTCTTTTTTGTAAAAGTTAGCTGTGATAAAATGTATAAAAGATTTGGGGAGCCTTTTTTACTTCAAAGATGTTAAGTGTCACAATGAAGACTGATTAGATAGCATTCTTACTCTGCAGAAATAGTGCTTTGACAGGAAACAGAATTTTAAACATGTTTAAGGTATTTTTCAGATTTTATCCAGGAAATCTCTCCCTCCCCACAGGATTCAGTAAAGTCAATAATTGCCTGAAGCACTCCTTGCTCAGCAGTGACAGCAGCAACAGTTGTTGGTGAAGCAAAGTTATGAAATAAACTTTTGTGCTTTTATCTCCTTCCATTAGTATGGGGGCAAGGAAGGCAATAACCTTCAAGAACTAAAAAAAAAATTAATGAGAAATTGGAAAGGAAACGAGGCAAATTACATTTTAAACTTATTCAGTATTTTAACATGTTGGTAGAATGTTTGTCTTTACCAACTTTGATACATGCGTATTTGCAGTCCTGAATGTTCTGTAAAGCTGAAGGTTGAATCCGGTGCTGGGTCAAGATGAAAAGTGATATCTTGGCATTGCTTGGGCCAGAGGTTCCTATTTAAAGCCAGGCTAAACAGATTCACATTTTTTGCAAATGTACTTTGCAGGCATATGCAGTTGTTTAACATGGTCAGCGCTTTCTCCCGGATGGAAAAGGCTATTGAATATTCTGGCCTCATTCCAGTATAGCAGTAGACACTTGAGATTCCTCTGGAATTAAGGAATTCAAGACTCCTTTGGATTAAGCATAGCCCTCAGACATAGTCCCCAGTAGGCAATAGGATTGTCCTGGCTTGCCCTCAGATGGGGTGGATTTCACTTCCTATAATATCTAGCCAACATAATATCCAGTCGTTGGTTTTGCTGGCTCATGATTATGAAAGTTGAAGATTTCCCACATTTGGTGCAGAACCTCTTGGGAAAGGCTGCATCATTTAGACACAGATTGAGATATTTAATGCATATATAGTGTTTAGAGAAGAGAAGAAAACTTAAGGTGATGAAATACACCAAATCTTGTTTTCCAAATCCAGAAATAATTTCATCTATAGAGATTGTTAATATACTATATTACTGCTGCTTAAAAAAAACCTGGGAAAGTGTTTTTTTTAAATTCTTATCTCATCTGTCTATCAAATCTGTTTTCTGAGTTAATCTTGCATTTGGTAGATGCAGAGGTAGTCAGGTTTTCCGGTGGTAGGTACAGACTAAGATAAGATTTGCAGGAGCTGATTTATTGGATTTCTAGAAATCTGAGCTTCACCAACAAGAACCAGTTACAAAATAGTGATTTGGGAGAAAACAAGACAAGAAAGCGAAATTATAATTGGAAAGGCAGAACCACATATTCACTGCATCCACAAGGAGCAGGTTATCCATTGGGAAAATATATCTATTGAAATATAAAACTGCATCTGTCTTGTTTATAGCAGATTAAGCTAGTTGAGGGGAAGAGAGATAGCAGTTATTGTTAAACAAAGTTGGGTATCAGAAATGCATGCCTGTCTACTTCAGGCTGTCAAGACATCTGAGTTGCTCAACTCTATGCTATAACCTAAAATTCATGGCATTCCTAGTCCAGGCACCTTTCATTGAGGGACTTTTTTCAAGCTCCCAGATGGATACATTGACCTAAATTTGTTCATCTGTATTTGTTATTCCCCATCTCTCTCTCACAACACTTTCATAGCCATTTGCACAGTGGACCACTGTTAAAACCAATAAATACATAAGGAAGCCACAACTTCCGGTGTTGGTAGAGCAGGTGTCTCCAAAGTAATTAGCATTTCCTGTTTTGAATTTCCTACATTTTTGCATAGGAATTTTTTTTCATATAAATGTTTCAAGGCAGTTGACCCCCCCCCCCAAAAAAAAATTCAGTATAAAAATAAGTATTAAATTTGTAGGAGAAACAATTATCTAGCAACCATGAATTACAATGCAACTTACTACTTTTTCCAGTCCTGAACTTGTTTTTAAAATGAATGACTTAGCCACTTTAGTCATTCTGGCACAAATGATTATTTTAAGTGCAGGGCAATTGAGAATCAGAAATGTGGTGTGTAGGCTCTTCTGGTTTGCCAGGCTTCGGTGACAGCAGGGATTCGCTTTCTCTGCGATCCCTGCTGTGCTAGCTGTCTTGGTGCCTCCGATCCTGACGGATCTGGAGGATAAGGCTGCCCTGTTGGGGTAGCTGAAGATAGGGGGGATCTCGACAGGGGTTGAGGGGCATTGCAGACCCTCTCCCCAGCCGGCAATAACCCCCTTTTCTCAAGGCGGTGGAGCGGCGGTCTCAATGGCCGCCACGAAGAAGCTGGCAACTGGATTAAGAATGTACAGGAGGAAGAAGAAGGAAGTTTTAAAATGAAAGTTTTTCTTGGCTGAACCGGGACTTTAAGGACATATCTAATACCTGGAAAATTACTATTCTTTTTGGATGCTATAATGTTTCTAATGGAGGTTCTCAGCGGCGAAGGAAAGTGTTGAAAGATAAAGTTACTCTCCCTCCCTTATGGAACTAACAAATGGACATGGAAAATCTGCTCTCTAACAGAAGGTAAAAATTTAAAGCCCTTTGTTACAAGTGGGAGGGGAGAGGCTTGGAAAAAAAAAATTATTCCAAGACTTTGTTGGAGGAGATGCTTTGAAGATAAAGAGATTAGAAGCTAACTGCAAAAAAGATTTAAAATACAGATTGGGTTTTTTTTCCCTAATTGACTTTACCCCCCAGGAAGAGAAACTGTAAAAGGAAGAAGTTTGTGCTTTGCCTGGACTGTTTGATGACTTTGGGATTTTAAGTTTGGAAATATTTGATTGGCTTAATAACAAGAGGATACAGAAAAAGAAGAAGAAAAAGTTTATAATGGCTCTACCTCTCGATGAACTAAAAAAACAATATCTAAAAATAAGGAAAGAAGGCAAGGACGCTATGGGAGAAGCCCTTTGTTTTCTAGATATAGCGCTTGCTATGTGTCAGCAAATTAAACAACAGCTGGAAGAAGCGGAGGAAGAAGAAGCCATTTTTAATGAATTAAATAGTGTGATTAAGAAAGAAAGGAGAAAGAGAGGAGGGACAAGGAAGGGCTTAAGACATAAAAAAATATCTATGAAAGAGAAAAATAAGATGCAAAAACAATATAATGCCAGAAAGCAAAAGGAAAGAAGAATGCAACAGAAAGGGGAAGCC